ACGACGCCGCCACGAGAAGAAAATCGCTTGTTTGTTGTTTCTTCTGCTCGTGGCAGAATGACGCTGTCTTGCGAAAGTGCGGCTGCTTGGGCGGGGCAACCCTGCTCCTGAGGTTGCCTGCACTGCCCGGTCGCTTTGGATTCGTCGAGGCTGGGAAGGTCGGTCTAACAGAAACCTCTTCATTTCCTGAGTTTCCCACTGCGGACTGCTGGGCTTGGTTGGTTCAAGTTCAGAATTTCCGTTGTGTGGCCGAAAGGTCTTCGGGGTTCTGCTCAACCCGGTGTCCCGGTTTAGCTTCGTTGCCCACTGCTACTGTTTGGATTCTTGAATGATCCGTTCTTCCTCTTGAGAAGTCGCCATTGAGATGGCACACTTTGCAACCCTTCAGACGAGCTTAGCCAGCACCACTCCAAATGCGCGGCTTGTCTTGGCGGGACGGTGCCTGCGGCCTGTGCAAGCAACCTGCGAGTCCGTTGTGTTCGCCTAGGCAGCACTACTCCAAATGCGCGGCTTGTCCAACCCGCGAGTCCGTCGTGCTGGCCAAACGAGAAGCTGGCTCTTGACGTTCTGCCCTGCAGTCATCTTGGCTGCCTCGCCACAGAATGTGGCCGCTTGGAGGCTTGGACCTGCTCTGGTGGTATCAGCATGATGACAGCCGCGATGGCGCGGATGATGGTTCCTGTGGAGCGCCGCTAGCACAAGGGGTGGCACCGTCTGCAAGTCTCCACAGGGATTGGCCACCGTCGAGACGCGGGAGCTCCTCGATTGCTTGGCGCGTTAAATACTTTGCGGCATCTGGCGGGTTTCCTAGTGAAGTAGGGTGTTTCACTTCGGAACGGTGTTTTTACCAAATCCCTAATGACTGCACTGCCTTTCGCTGCTGGAATCCCGGCGCCACGGATCGCGCAGCAGCTCAGCGAGGTGGACCCGTTTGTGGTATAGGATAGATCTTAAATCCCCAATCATCCTTTGAGAGACCCGTGTTGTGACTGCCGCTTGGGAATGTTTGCCAGATGCCGCCGGGTTTCTTCTTCTGAGATAGTATACCTTGGGTTGATACACAGGGTGTCACCGAAGCCTGGGGCTCTCGATGAATGTCTGCAGCTAGAATCAATCTTTCTGGAGGAGGCTCTGGACCACCATGATCCCTGCATTAGTCCTACTACTAGGCCTAAGGACCCATGAGCCCCTGGCGTTCCCCTGGAGTCTGTTGAATCGGCTAAGTAACATACGCTGGCCTGTTGTGGTTTGAGATGAAGAGCGAAACCCTAATTCCCGACTCCTTTCAGAGACCAGTGTTGCGACTTCCGTTTGGGGATGTTTGTCAGCTGCCGCTATGTTTCTTCTTCCATGATACTATACCCTGGGTTGGTACAGTGCGTGCTATGGAGGCTCGGGGCTCCCGATGAACCTTTGCAACTACAACCAGCCATTTTCACAAGGCTCCGGACCGCCGTAACTCGTGTATGACCTCTCCCAGCACCTCACCAGGCCACCTCTCCGATGCTGACGACGAAGGCCGGGGAGGGTCGCCTGGGAAGAGTAATCCGGTCTAGGTCCAGGTTCCTCCCGCGCTGGCTCTCCACCCCCAACCCGACTCCGAAATGCTTCGTGATGCAGTGTAAGGTCTGTTGTTCTGCATAGATCGAAGTCAAATCGCAGGCTTCTGTGGTCTCACTTGATCTTGCGAACTCCCACGAACCAGTTGTATGTGTGTATGTGTGTGTGTGTGTGTGTTTGTGTGCTAAAGAGACAACGCATTGCACGAAGCGTGCATTTATGAAGCACATGGATCCGTCAACGGAGCAGGAGTGCACCATGAAGTTGTGAGGTACCGTGGGCGTCTCAGGCCGATTGACAATCGAAGGCTGCCGAGCGAGAACTATGATGGGCGAACCGTCAACGGCAACTTCAAGTGCTCGCATTGGTACATTGGTGCGGCGGAAGCGTAGTGATTCCCAATGCCTCGGTGTTCTCCTCCTGGCCGCGACGTCCTGTGAGCAGACAAAGGCTCATCGAGACGCAGGAGCTCCTCGATTGCGTGGCACGTTAAATACTTTGCGGCATCTGGCGGGTTTCCTGGTGAAGTAAGGTGTTTCACTTCGGAACGGTGTCTTTCCAAATCCCTAATGACTGCACTGCCTTTCGCTGCTGGAATCCCGGCGCCACGGATCGCGCAGCAGCTCAGCGAGGTGGACCCGTTTGTGGTATAGGATAGATCTTAAATCCCCAATCATCCTTTGAGAGACCCGTGTTGTGACTGCCGCTTGGGAATGTTTGCCAGATGCCGCCGGGTTTCTTCTTCTGAGATAGTATACCTTGGGTTGATACACAGGGTGTCACCGAAGCCTGGGGCTCTCGATGAATGTCTGCAGCTAGAATCAATCTTTCTGGAGGAGGCTCTGGACCACCATGATCCCTGCATTAGTCCTACTACTAGGCCTAAGGACCCATAAGCCCCTGGCGTTCCCCTGGAGTCTGTTGAATCGGCTAAGTAACATACGCTGGCCTGTTGTGGTTTGAGATGAAGAGCGAAACCCTAATTCCCGACTCCTTTCAGAGACCAGTGTTGCGGCTTCCGTTTGGGGATGTTTGTCAGCTGCCGCTATGTTTCTTCTTCCATGATACTATACCCCTATACCCTGGCTTGGTATAATGCGTGCTATGGAGGCTCGGGGCTCCCGACGAACCTTTGCAACTACAATCAGCCATTTTCACGAGGCTCCGGACCACCGTAATCCCTGGGATGACCTCTCCCGGCACCTCCTCAGGCCGCCTCTCCGATGCCGGTCTTTGGGACGTTGCTTGCTTGCTTCGACGCTGTCTTGCGAAAGAGCAAGCAAGCAACGACCCAAACACGAGAAGAATGTGCGTGTGTGTAAAAAAAGCCAAGTCTTCAGGAAGATTTTAAGATGTGCCATGGCTGATCAGAGACCAGTCAGTCACCTGTGACTCTGTCCTCATTCGCAGCTCTATTATTGTGAAGTCAGTGAAGCTTCTTGCAATAACGCCATTTTCCGCAGCTGGTGTTTCCGCTGGTACAGTGAGGACGATGTGAGGCGTTCCACCCTTCATAACTTGAGAGGCAGGAATGCCAAGGACGAGTGGCCAGTTCTTGGCCAGGCACATTTCCATATATATATATATATATATATATATATATTTATATGTATAGTATCCATATATTATGCATTTGCCAATCCCTCTGACAAGTTGCCACTTGACCTGTTGAGTCAGGCTCTGAGCCCTCACGCTAGGCGGATCTTGATTAAGCGTTCCCACACACAGGGCATAGAGTGAACTACATCGAGTCAAGTGTATGGTACAAAGATGACTCCACGACTCCGTGACTCTATCTCACTACAACTCTATGACTTTATGACTCATGACCCATGGACTCTATGACTCTTGATTCTGTGACTTTACGATCCTATACACTGACTCTATCTCACTACGACTCTATGACGCTATGTCACTGCAACTCTATGACTTTATGACTCATGACTCATGGACTCTATGACTCTTGATTCTGTGACTTTACGATCCTATACACTGGATCTATCACATAGCCCCACACTCTTCGCTGATGATGCTTTCGGGCCAATTGTCTTCTAGTTAGTTTCATGGTGGCACGATATTAGTGATATGATGGCACGATTTTTAATGTTATGATGGCACGATTTTTAGTGTTATGATGGCACGATACTAGTGTTATGATGGCACGATTTTTTAGTGTTATGATGGCACGATGTAAAGTGTTATGTATGACACGATTTTTAGTGCTATGATGGCACGATTTTCAGTGTTATGATGGCACGGTTTCTAGTGTTATGATGACAGGATTGCTAGTGTTTTGATGGCACGGTTTTTTGTGTTATGATGACAGGATTTCTAGTGTTATGATGGCACGAATTTAAGTGTTATGATCTATTTTTAGTGTCATGATGGCACGATGTAAGTGTTATGATTGCACGACTTTAGTGTTATTCTAGACACAAATTAGGTGCTGTGATGACACGGTTTTAGTGCTATGATTGTCACAAATCAGGTGTTATGATGACACAGACTCAACGGTTCTAAAGAGAGCATGCTACTTACTGTTAGAGGCAGCCCCTAACATGTGACCGTGCAAAGCAATGCAACGCTGTCACCAAAGTCAGAAGCTCTGGGAAGAAGCTGAAGCATGTGCCCCGAAATGCAGCAAGCCACGAAGTCTGTCCCCGACGAGCTGGAGCTCCTTGAGAGAAGCCCCTGTGGCAAGTCGATCATCACAAGCCTGCGAGGCGCTGCGTCAGAGTCCAAGAGCATCCAAGACCCAAGAGCCAGACCTTGGAGGACAGCGCCTGGCCCTCCCTGACGAGGATGCCACCTGCCCGGGCCCGGATGCACCCCGGAAAAGCGCGCACAGACGCCCCGCGCCACCAGCCTTTGTCGGCACCACCGATGACTTCCCACTCCATCGATGGCTTCCAATGGTGCGCGCAGATGGCTGGACTACTGTCAATCGTTGCTAAATCGAGGCTGACCTTACAGTGGGCTTTTCCGGCGGCTAATGCATGCTCAGGAATGCTACATGTGTCGGAAAATCCAATCGTGGAAGCGAGCCAAAGTGAGCTACAACACCACACAACAGGCTGCGAACTGCGGGATTCGATGCTTGCTGGCGCAAAGCCGCTAAGGTTTCTAGGGCCCCTGCTTTGCGCTGGCCCGATCTCACCATGCTCAGTCGGGCCATCGCTGCACGAACGATCAAAAATGAAGCTGCGGTGCTTGCTACAGAACTGCCGATCGTCTGCTCTGTGTGCAACTGATCGTGGTGTAGTTGATACAGTGGAGGGCTGAAACCAGTCAGGTGTACATGCGAAATGTCAAAGCTTCGTCATGTTGATCAGAACCACAAGGCGGTGCACAAGTCAGTCGAGCACCCAGAAATTGTGAGAGTGCTCATGACCCATAAACACGCAGCAGAGATTGATCAAGTATCAAATCTGGCAGCCTGCCTGCGGATAGCTTAACAGCGTTCCGATGCGCAGCAGCCCCTGTCGAGAACTTCCGGCAGCACCCCACGAACACGATAAGAAACATGCCTAAACCAAAGGACCTGAGACATGCAGTGAACGGCGCACTCTGAATGACAACTCGCAGAAAGCAATTTGGCTTGGTGCGAACCTGCACCACAATGTCCATGGAAGCATTGACCATATCCAGGCCGAGAATGCATGCCTGGAGTCAACAAAAGCCCATAGTCGCAGCTGAGCCTCAAGCAGCCTGGGTTTGAGCTACAAAGGTTCGAGGAGAGCAAACCCTGCGAGCGGAGAAAGCCACTCGGAGTCATCGCAGTCTGGGAATCTAATCTCGAGGCTCTGTCACGACTCAGGCGATTCTTGGCCTCGAGAACACTGCAACCACGGCCGTAGCTCTGCAGTAGGCTGCTAGCTTCGTATATCCCACGGTGACAGTAATGATACTGGTGATGGTGATCATGAGAATGATCTGTTGGAGCCGCCAAATTCGACTAGCTCCATTTACCTGTGTTCTGGGCCATCTCAGAAGTCTACTGTTCTGCCCACAGAGCATGACAGGCGCGACAACCGCAATGCTTAGCTGATCGCACCTCCCTAGCGCCTGCTACAGGCACCTAAGACCTCTGCTGGAAAGCTACTTGCTCACGAAGCACCAGGAAGCAAGGGCATCTCCCGGTTGCCTGCATCTCCCTGGCCCAAACCTCAGGGTTCGTGCCGACCTGCAGCCGGTCTCACGCTGAAGACTTGCACTGCGCATGGCAGTTGCATCCCTAAACTTCCTAAACCCTTTTCCTAGCCTCAAGCTGGAACCGGCTAACATTCCGTCGCCTCCGGGTTCTCGATTGGATGCATTATGGCCAAGAATTGCGACCTTGTCCCATCAATACATGCAGAAGTACAGGAAATGGCTTCGCTCCAACCGAATCGGGTCTGGGGGTTGTGTACAAGGTGCCTATCTTTCAAGCGTGCTTTCTGGGTTCACGGTTCGCGTTGTGCATTTTTTGGAAATTGCTGCCTTCCCGCAGACCAGTTCCCTCCAATAGTACCCATTTGTGAGTTAATTCTGAGCGGTCTCTTTAACCGTCCTGACCATCGATACACCATCCCCTTGCAAGTTCCTCACATGCTTGTCTACATGCCGTGCGACAGAGCGACAACCCAATTCCTCGGCTTCTGACGCCACCTCACCGTCATGGGCACCGAGCTGAAGGGCCTGTGAGATTCGGCCAATGGCGGCGCACAGGCGCACAATCACAAAACTACATATGACTACGCCGCATGACGACGGGTTGAGTCCAAACACAACTTTGTGAATAAGGCCATGGCGATGTCGATCTGCGGCTTCTGCAACAAGGAGTTAACTTCACAAGCAGCATCACCGCTCACAGTCCAACAGCTCTTGCAACGCGTTGAAGTCTTCGCTCAAGGTATTGCACAGAGGATGGTCAGCTGCTGTCGCATCACATCTACAGCAGCCTCGAAGCCCATCTCCCGCATTGAAGCACAGGCGTCTGCCAAAGAGACCCTGTCAAAAGTTGCGCACAAGGCGGAGGAGCAGAGCTGACGTCAGATGCCGAGGCTGCTAAGGTCGGTGCCGGCTGTGGGTCTCCAGGATGGGCTCGGAGAACTCCACAAAGTCAGCCAACCCTCCCAGCCCAGGAAATCCATCAATGCCATCACCAGGGACCACAGCTCTTCGTCGGCCTTCTTCGTCAGAGTCGGGCTCGTTCATCACGGGATTTCCACCAGAGCTCTTGGCCTGACAAAGCTTTAGGCTCTCTCGGAACACGGCAGTCAAACGCAGAATGGAGAAGGCGATTCCCAGAAGGGTCACAGATAGGACCAAGAAGGAGAAGGCTCTTCCTGAGGATGTAAAGAAGACCAGTGGGCACCAATTTCGCTGTACGCTGTCGACCCTGTGTTTCCCACGGTTCCAGGGCTCGGCTTGCCTTTCACCTTGGGGGTTCTGCGCAGAGTTTCGCGAGCATTCGCGCATGTGGAACTGCTGACATTGTGCGACAGCCGAAGACAGCCGAAGCCGAGAACTCAACATGCTCAACCCCAAATGATGTGCTCGTGCATACATGCGGTTCTAAAGTTGCAGGATCCACAGTTGGCGAAGGCATGGAATCAACATTCGAGGAGTAATGGAGAACAACACGTCACACGAGCTTCTCCAATTGAGCTTCTTTGGTGGGAAGATGATGTCTCCTGCTTGGATTGATGCACTTCTTTGCCTTCTCCAACAGGTCAGCCACTGCATGGAAGTTCCTGCCAGCCACCGTGAAAAACTCTCGCTCTCCTTGTCATCAACCAGTATCATGACCTAGGTAGTTTTTGCTATCGAGCTCTGCTGCAGCAGGAACCGACGAGCCCATGAAACATTACCAGCGTCGTGCCGAACGTTCTGCCGAGGCTCTCCATCCCGTGTTGGTCATCTGTGGACCTGGGTGAAGAACCAGCATGCAGCCTGCTCGACCGTGAAATTGCACGAAAGACAGCCTTCGACATTTTTCAGCCTGGACTGTATTCCAACATATTCCAGCGTGGCCACAACAACAAGGACAGGCTACGAGTTCAAGCATGGACTGAGGTTGCCGCGGTTGCGTTGGCTCTGGGAAAGAACCGAGGACAAGAAAGATGGTGTAGCCCTGGGCAACAATGCATTCCGTTCGTTCGGTTCTGGCTCATGTTTCTAGAATCGTGACTCTTGCAAGTCACCCAAAAGTTCACGATGGCCCTGTCCACGGCAAGAACTATTTCGGGAAAGACGGCAACACAGAAAGCTGTGGCAGCAGCACGATTTCGTGCATTGTGGCAAATCCCTTTGCCCCAAGCTTAAGCATCCAGTACAAAGCATGATGCTCGCATTTGCAGGGTTTCAGAATTTGGCCAAATTCCAAGTCGTGCTCCCGCCTGGGGTAGCCTCAGACTCCCTGCTGGTATGACTTGGACTTCCAACTGCTCTTTGACTGCTTGGGGTCTCCGCTGGCATAGCATCTTGAAACTATGACGCGAACGAGCCCAGCTAGACCAAGGACAGGGCCTCCGCCTGGAGCTGTGCCAACCAGGCCTTTGTCATCGTCAACCCACAAACAGTAAACACGCATGCTCAGACTTCCTAGTCAAACGCGGCCGGCGGGCAGCCAAGTAGAAAGGACCAACTTGCGCTGGCCTCCAGGCATCCACAGACACTTTGGGGCTCCACAGACATTTTTTCGCAGTTGTGGGGCTGCACCAACTCGCATCCTACGCCAGGCACAATTCACTTGTTCTGTGACAGGTCTGTGCATGTTGGATATCTCGCGCCAAGCGAAATTGTCTGCTAAGGTACTCGCGTAATTTAGAATAGCTCGGTGGTCTGACGGTCTGAGCGGGCGATGCTGGACTTTGCAGTTGGTTGTTGCTGTGGCATGCCGGCCGGTGTAATCCAGGTTGGCCTGCTGCTCGCTGTCACGTGACTTGTCGAGCGGCCAAGCTCTCAAACAACACAGAGCTCCGTAGAGAAGTCAAGCTACGAGACACAAGGCCCTCTGCGGCCCTCGTCTGTCGACGTGTGCTCTTTCAGGTGCTAGCGGCACGAGTGTTCAAACGCAGCAATCACATGACGCTGGAGCGGTTCTTGCAGCCCCTGCTGGCGAAACAGGCATGGCGACTTTAGTGGCACTAAGTTTGCTGCTACTCCCGACGGCCAAGATGGAACAGACATGCACAGGCAGTAGGAGGATGGGAGGATGACCAGGGACGGGATTCGTATCTGATCTGCAGCACACTCGTCAGTTGCCTCTTCCTGGTGGAGTTTAGGTTCCACCACCCATCCAGCACCTGCCAAAGCTCTGCACACGATCGCGGACGTTAAGCTACAGTGCATCTTTGCATAGCTGACGCCCAGTCATATCCGAAGATGTCAATCACTGCTGGAGGTATCCTCAGGACATAGACTGGTGCAACCTGCATCTGGCCACCCAACCATTCTCTGAGACAAAGCTTTCAACTCCATTCCTGTGTCCAAACCCAAACCCATCTTTTACATGACCCAGACTGAAAGAAGTCAGCTTTTTTCACGCAGCGTTATCAAACGTACCATGCGCAAACGACAAACACTTGTTTCTGATCAGGTTATCCTGACAGCAATGCGAGGTTGGGCAACCATCCTGTGGAATCCCTTCGAACACAGTCCGAGCAAGCGGCACACAAGGTTACTGTAGGGTGTGTCATGGAGCTACTGCAGCTAGTCAAGAAAGGCATAAGTCGAAGATTTCCACTGGCCGTTGCCCAATAGTGACGTTGCACTCTGAACGCTGCGAGGAGTCTTCTGGGTCGCCACACTGAATTCGACGCGCTCCGCTCCGTCGCGGTCGCTACGGGACTCAGCTACACCTTGGAAAAGCAGCCGGTCTCCGCCTCGTCCAAGCATCGACGCAAAAGAGCAGCACCAGTAGCAGCAACAATGACAAGGATGACATTCTGGCAATGACAGCTGCAATCCCAAAACCAAACCCCACAGCAAAAAACAGTCAGCGACACTACAACGTGAGTTAGACTAGCGCCAGAGGGCAGTTGCCGTCGTCGCAGTATAGTAGCAGCAGCAGTGGCCACAGCCGTAGCCGTAGCGTAGCAGTAGCAGTAGTGGCGGTATCGGTTGTGCCCGTAGCCGTAGCCATACAGGTAGCAGCAGCAGTGGGAGTGGGAGTGGGAGTGGGAGTGGGAGTGGGAGTGACAGAAGGAGCAGGAGTCGCCATAAAGGCAGGAGTGGGAGTGGGAGCAGAAGTAGTACTGTTACTGGTACTGGTATCAGTTCTACTATCAAGCAGCTCCATGCTTACCAACTGCACTCGCTCAACACCTTCTCAAAATGCCACAGGCAGCGCAGTGACACGACGGCAGTCTTTCGTACCCTGACAGGCGCCATGGTGAGCCGCAGCGTCCGAACAGCATCACATCTATACAGTACACATGCCACGGCTGTTCTTTCACACCTTCTTTCCAACGCATTCATTCCACCCGTATTTACAGTATGTTCCTGTGTCCCACTGTATTTTTGCCTCAACGTCTACCTGTCAACTTTGCAAACTCGAACTTGTGATTTCCGCGTGGTCGGGTGCTAGGGGGGTGGAGGGTCGGCTGGGCAGGATGATAACGATACCCATTGTGCACACACCAAACACTGCTTCAAAAGCAAACCCTCATCACCCCAGGTGTGGGCTTTAGGGTGTTGCTTTCTGAGCCACTCTTACGGACAGCTGGCAGTGTATTTTGCCGGGGATTCGCGTCTTAAAGGTGCTGAAGCCTTCCTGGAATCACCTTACGGCATTTTCCCACAAGGCTCCCTGAGCCCCTGCCCATTAGAGTCAGGGAGCCTGGAAGCTGCGACCGGCCCGGAATTTGTCAAGGGGCTACTACTACCTCTGCAAATCGTCGTCGCGCTGGAGGAGGAGGCGTCCAAGTATAAGCATTGGCGGCGCAAGTGTAAGCATGAGTAAAAGTACAAGTACAAGCGCCAGTACCGGTATAGGTACAGGTACAAGCCGAAACCCAGGCGAGTGGACAGGTGGGTGGGTCGGAAGGTGGGTAAAGTGGGTAGGTGGGTAGGTGGGTAGGTGGGTAGGTGGGTAGGTGGGTAGGTGGGTAGGTGGGTAGGTGGGTAGGTGGGTAGGTGGGTAGGTGGGTAGGTGGGTAGGTGGGCAGGTGGGTGGTCGGGCAGGGTAGGGTAGTGCTAGCTAGCTAGCTAGGCTAGGAAGGTCGGTAAGGAAGGCAGGCAGGAAGGCAGGCAGGCAGGTAGGATCGTGAGCAGTAAACAAGCAAGTCAAGCCATTATCAAATGAAGTAAGGAAGCAGTTATCAGTTATCATAACAAGGAGACAAGCGAAGGTAGCATTTCGTCATTGCCGAAGTGTTTATTGAGCACTTGCAACAGTCGGTCACACGGCAAGCAACAAGTTTAAGACCTGTGCTGCAATCTTGCAACTCGGAGCATCTGTTTCTGCGTTTCTTGCAGAGTCGATTGAGCTCAACATGGGCCAGATGCAAACCAAGCTCAAGGCCAGCGTCCGCGACCGAACGCGTCAAACAGCAGGAGCACCACCTGCAAAAAGGCACACAGAACAGGCGAATCACAAAGTCCGTAGATCACTAACATCTGGTCGATGGCAAAGGCACCTTTGATGGAAATGTTGGGGTTGTTCTTGGCAAGAATTTCTCGACCTCTGCCCTTGTGATCGAAATCACAGTTGTGGTCCTGTCCAGGCTCATGGCGAGCAAGACGGTGCATCGAAGCAACTGGACCCCAGTTTCGAACATGCAAAAGGCGCCGTGCGACTCAGCTGGAAAACAAAGCTGTCCTCTGCGTGTCTGCACTTCGCGCAGAAAGTATAGCCGCACTTGCATTCAAAGCCAGTGAGGCCGCACCTGCGTCTACAGCTAGCGGACAGACTGCTGTCAAACAAGCTCAGAGAAAGAGCAACCGGAAGAGTGCAGCACTGAGCTGAAGGCTTCTTACCGCAGAACCAGCATTTGGTCTTGTCCTTCGAGTCTAGTGGCAGGGCTGCATTTCCCGGTGTGGCCGTGGACCATTGCGAAAGAATCTGCTCCTTCTGCTCTTCCTTTGGCACGTCTTCCATAGCCTCGCAAAAGAACTCTCTGGCCTTGGCAGGCTATGAAAGCGCGGATGCCAGGCCTCGGAATCAGGATCTACTTTTCCTTGTTCCGCTTTGGCTTCCTCTTCCCTGCCATCGAAAGAAAGTCCGCAATGATTGCCATCGATAGTCTGCGAGTAAGAAAAAGAAAGCCAGAGAGAGTGGGCCCCGCAGCTTTGGCAGCCGCGCATTATAGGAAGACTCGACTAGGCAGCATCCTCCGCAGACCATCGAATGGCCAAGACCGATCAATCTTTTCCCTGCTGCATCACCTCCTTTTAGCAGCAGAAGGAACCGGACAAGCAATTCACCATCAAATTTGCTAGCCATGGCTGGCAACCATTGCTTCTCTGGAACGATCTTCGTGCCAGAACCGATCAGTGATGAGGACACAGACTCCACTCCGACTTGACGGTGCTGAATACGCGCCAGCTTCACTTTTCTTTTTTTGCTTTAGTTTCCTCCTCCTGACAAAAATTAACCCTACGGCTTCAAGGCACAGCACGACCAGTTCTGAGTTGCTCCTCTTCCTTTTTCTTTCTCTCGGCATAGCATTTTGAACCTGATAGTTTTCAGAGCCGACCGAAGACCTGCCTCATGCATGCAGCCCGAGACCACAACACAACAACACAGCTAAGTAGAGCACAATAGTTATCTGTCTTGGCGGTGCCGCAGAATCCACACCCGCCGCGGCAGGGAACCGAAACCACCTGCAGCGAGTCTCATTACTTTGCTGTGTTGATGAGGATCTGGGCTTGTTTGAGACCGTATTGAGCATAGCGGATTTGCGAGTGTGGTCAAAGCGCGAGAGTTGGTCGTGCTCATCCGTTCCAATATGCCACAGACACAGCAAGTGCTAAGTTGCTGGCAGGCTCCTCTTCCTTCTTTTCTACCTGATAGTCGGCAGAACGATGGCAAACCCCGCAAACAGCAAACCGAGTGCACCTGGACACCAAAGCAGAGCTTGCCAATACCATCAAAAAAAAGTATCAACAAATTTCTTGCATGTACTTGCCGAAACATAATGAACGGACGAAGCCAGCCGTTGGCCTTGGTTTCTGCTCCACCAGAAGCGCTTGAGGCTCCCTTGACCTGCACCGTGAGACTTAAACCCATTAGGAAACCTTCAAGACGACTTTTGCTTCCCAACTTTGGTCGGGACACACCACAGTGAAGTGATGATACTGTGAAGGAGAACTCGTCGGCTTTGGACGTGCTGCACGACTCATGCTGAGGCCATCACAAGGAACAGTGTCGACTTATCGCAAATCTTGGCTGACTCGAGGGTGTCCTCGTCCTGTAGAGCACATGCACACGGCCACAAGCATCGTCCGACTGGGGAGAAGTGTCTAACGATTCTCTGAAACATTGTCAACGTGAGAATCACAGTCAGAAGCCATACTGTAACAACTACAACAATGTCAAGGTTAAGGCTTTCTACTTTAGGGTCAGGGATCATTGCACAAGCATAAATCACCTAGGAGGAAGATCGAACACCTGCAACAGAGAAGGATGTGGGCGAGAACCCTCTGCCGTTGATGCAGAAAGAAGCTGAGAACGCCAATGTTCCATGTGCTCCTTCAACAGCTTCCCCTTGAGGAACAGTCGCTGCTCCGATGCGTCCAAGCCGCACTCCTGCCGCTTTCACAAACAGAGAAGATCGGGCTTCGGTTAAGCCATGCCACCTCACAACATGAAACCTTGCTTTCAGGCTCCTGTGCAGCTCAACTCTCGCGTTGCTGACATCAAGCCCCACAATGCCCAGGCACCGGAAGCTACCCTGAAAAAAAAGATGCCGCACAGCTCCTCGTGGCACTTCCTTTTGAGCTCACCGATTGTCAATGTAGCTTCTATTCCTCCAAGCTTGAAGGACCTTCCACCGGGTGACGGTGGCACACTAGCCATGTCCAGATCATGATATCACATATCTCTCTGTCCGGCCGGCTGCATGATGAAACATGCAATCGCATCAGCTGAGCTGTAATGAACACGGGACCTCACTTGAATCTGATCCAAGGCACTTTATGGCCCCGGAGCCTTTGAAACTCAGCTCCATCAGCCTTGACTGGCTCGGAAAGAATAGCAGAATAGCAGTCTTCATGCAGCAGTAACAGCAAGATTCAGAGTCTGCAAAGCAGCGGCCATGAGTGGAAGGTCCTGATACTGCTGCTGTTTTTGCCTACGCCGACTTGCAGTGAGTGGTTCGTGCCTCTGCGCCAAGAAAGAAACCTGAAAGTATCCTTAAATCAATCATGTCAGAATATGTCAGCTGTCGACACTCCAACAAAACACAATGCAGTGCGGCTATCCAACCACCTTGTGCCTCTCTAGCTGCCTCAGGAAGGCAAGACAACAACGACGTACTGGTGAAACATTTTACTAAATGGCTCCAGCAGAATCAATACTGGACCCGTTCATAAACCATTAACTGTCTCCAGCTTCATGCTTGGCAGAGAACTTGGAGATGCGAAGGGAAGTGCAATGGACATCCTGCAGCTGGTCTTGAACCGGACTGCTATCACCCCCAACCTGCCTGTCACCCCAAGTGACGACACCACCATCACCACGGATGACGGCAAAGGCTGAGTTAGAGCCTTGAATGTCTCGAGCGTCGTAGAGCTGGTCCTGCACCACCTGGCAGTCGCCTCCGTAGTCCTCGTCTCCCCAAGTGACAACCGTCCCATCTCCGAGTATGGCCGCGAACGCGCCGTCGGAAGCTGAAAGCTTCTGGACATCTCTCAGTTGAGCCTGGACCGCCAGGCTGTTGCCGCCTCGACCAAAGCCATGACGGCCTCCCCACGTAACAACCGTACCATCTCCTCGAAGAGCAGCAAAAGCCGTGTCGGTGGCCCGGATCTCCTTGATGTTCCGGAGCTTGTCCTGCACACTACTGCTGTCACCCCCCGAGTCCGCCGAGCCCCAAGTCACCACGGTCCCATCACCGCGAATAGCAGCAAAAGCGTAGCTGGAACCATGGACTTTCCTGACATCTTGAAGCTGAGCCTGGACGGCACTGCTGTCACCTCCGCCATGCTTGTCGCCCCAGGTGACGACACTACCGTCACTGCGGATGGCTGCGAAGGCCGAGTAGGTGTGATGAACCTGTGTGACATTTTGGAGAAGACCTTTCACTTCACTGCAATCTCCTCCGCAGTCCTCGCTTCCCCATGCTGCGACGGCACCATCACCCCGAATCGCCGCAAACGCACGCCCAGAGGCAGCAATATGCTTGACGTCCACGAGCTGCTCCTGCACGGAGCTGCTGTCTCCACCAAAGCGCCGATCACCCCAGGTGACTACGCTACCATCGTGCCTGATCGCAGCGAAGGCAAAGGCCGAAGCCGACATGTCGTACACGTTGTGAAGCTGCGACATCACTGATGTGCTGTCTGCGCCACAAGCGGTGTCACCCCAAGTAACCACCGAATCATCACTCAACACGGCAGCAAAGGCTCCGCTTGAGCAGCGAATCCTCTGCACACCTTCGAGCTTGGCGTGTGCGACACTGCTGTACTGACCACAGGCAACTTTTTCGCCCCAGGACACCACAGACCCATCACCACGGAGCAAAGCAAATGCTCTGCAAAGCCTTCCGGACACAAGAGTCGCGTACCTGACTGTGGCAGTAACAGTATCCCCGTTTTGCAGGCCTATGTCTTGCAGAGTGCGAGTTCCCTTCAAAAGCTGACCGTTGGCAGTGATCAGCTCATGGATGCCAAGCTCCTTCTGGACCTTGGAGCGTAGCCTTTGTACAGTACTGTCATGATCCACGACCACAGTGGTCGCTTCCCCACTGAGCAAAGCAACTCGTAGCGTAATGGACGTTGGCGGCACCGTGCTTTCTGGACACTCTTCCGTGCCAGACATCACGTTTTAGGCATTACGGCCAAATCGCATGGAGAGGCCATGGCCTGTTCAAGGACGCCTGATGAGAAAGTGAGCAGTACCAAACCTCCTTCTCTGTAAACCCAGTACTCCTTTGTACAGCTGTGGGATTGCGTGTTGACAAGTTTGAAGGCTTGAGCAGTGTGCGAACCAGCTACTTGTCCGCATACCTGACTAGAGCCACACAGAAGGCATACGTGTCAAGAAGACAGCTTGCAGCAAGACAATCTAGCAGCATCTGGCAACAAATGCGTCAGGCCAGCTCACTGCGCTAAGTGCTGCCCTGAGCTTCCGACCCGGAGCCCCCCCCCCTACGGCTTCTTTCGTCGTGCCTCAGAAATTGCTCTGCAAAAGGATTGCTTGGCAGACATTCACAGAAAGCCTTCGACTCGGATCTGATTCGTCAATTTCACAACTTTGCAAGCTTGAGCCGTTTTTTGGCAGAGCAGGCTGCTCCTCTTGCAGGGCTACCCAGACCAATAGGCTGCGCCTCAGGATGCCACGGGCGGCTCCAGGAATCCACCACCGCAGGACAGCCCGAAGGGCCGAAGGTTGCCGGGAAAAGGAGCTGCTCAGACCGTTGCTGGTTCAATCCTCCTTTGGGTGGCGATGCCACCATGTCCGAAAAGGGCCGTTCCACGGCCCGCCCCCACTCTCTTCTAGCTCTCTGTTGCGCAGCTCGCGAATCGGAATTCCAACAATCAGCCCAATCAACACACCGACTGCAGCGGCTTTGGGATTCTCAGCGAGATCCTTCAACCGGACAGTGATGCGACGGCAAGCGACATGGAGTGCCGCGCGAAGCATCGTAAAGCCCTCAAGACGTAACAGTCTACTTTCAATATGAAAACCTTGTTTGTTTGGCTGCTGCCGTGTGCTATTATCCAGTGCTCCCGAAAGCATCGACTCTTTCTACTTGAAGATATACGACGGTTCCAGCACACTTCACCATAAACTTCCCTCCTGTCCATGCAGGTGCACACAGCCTGCCCGCCCACGAGGCAATCGAAGAACTACAGCTGTAAATCAAAACTGTTTCCGTGAAGTGAACATCTGCAACTCGACCAGCCCCAATTTGGAGTGGGCACGTTCCCGCAAGTTTTCTTCAAGGGTTCAGACGAATGAACGTAAACCTAAAGCCCTAAGTACGACTCCACCCCCTTAACCTCAACTCGAACAGTCATGTGGAATCTTCAATTTACGTTCCTGTAGTTCTTCCTTTTGGGCTCTAACGCAGACAGTAGATCTGGGTTTCGCTGATTAGCCATCATGGCCGCGAGTCCGTTCGAAGTCAATTGCACTTGCAGATCCTAGGAGCCTCATAACGCAAAGGTCAAGCCCAATACTGCGATAGCCAACCCTAAGGTGCTGTGAATCTTGTCCTGGGTTGAATGCTGCACAAAGGCTTATGCAAGGTGGAACACACATATTTACTGAGCAAGACTGTGGCTAGTCGAACCATCGTGCCCGGGAAGTCTTGATGCTATGCTTGCGGGGACTTTAAGCCTTTGGCACATGTTAACAACCGAGGTCCGGACGCCACGCTCCGTACCGAATTGCTGCACAAATGAGCCAAACGGAAGAGCAACGGCATCAAAGTGGGCAAGTTGGCAAGCTCGATGACGACTTCGGCATCAGCTCTCCAAAAAAACACTCAAACAGAAAGCCTCCATGCTGCGGCAAGTGTCACTTACTTGGAGCAAAGGCAAGCCTTCCGGATGGCGAACCAGTGGTCATGATATTGGCCTCAATTGTCGACTGCTTTCAAAAGGTCAGTGATCACATCGTGTGCATAAACCTGGCAAACCTGCATTTTGAAGAGGAAAACGCAAGTCTCCTCACTAAACCCTAAAATGTGCAGTCGGATTGCACATCCTCCTGCAGTGCTCGGGGTCGGGCACAGAAATGCCTGAGTTGCGCTGGCAGGATCCTGGCTCCAAGGCTGAAAAAATGTAAACACTGATTGCTCATGACTGGCTAAATATCTTGCAGTCGGTCCTGCATCTTTTCCTTGGCATCAGGATGCCTGACAAGCACAGAGCATGCTGGCAAAGAAACAACCGTGGCTCGAGAAGCCACGTGTGCATGCTCGTGGACACCTTTCACGTCGTGACCCTACATGCCAAAGTGTACTGGTCATGCCTTGATGGCACTAGCTCCAGATGGTATCGCTCAAGCGCGACGGTCAACACCTTCACGGCAAATCTTGCCAATTTGAAGAAATTACGGGTAATGAAATGCATGGTTGTTCCGCTTGAGTGCCTCGATTCAGAAAAGAGCTTGATGAGACATGCACAACTGGGACATGACTTCGGCATCTGATCAATCATTCAATTGCTCTCCGCGCCTGAATGCTGAAGTTCCCACCATCTGCTGAACTGTCAACCTTTCGCGCATCTACGTGTCCGCATGACCCTAGGAACGAGGCATTGATCGTATCTCGAGCTCGGAGCATTGTAGGGCTGCCCTTCGAGACCAGCACCACCTCCATTGGCAACTGCATACATCGAGTTCAAGTTCGAAGAAAGCAGTCTCGCACAGCTGCGGCAATATACCTTCAACGAAAAAGGAGTGCAGCTCACATGCCTGCCTTGGCTTTGTGAACTTTGGGATCGGACCAGAGCGCGCTCCTCGAACAAGATGTAATTTGTTGTTTGCATACGCGAATGGATGTAAATATGCATGTACGCATGTATGTCTGTATGCATGCATGTATGCATGCATGCATGTATGTATGTATGTATGTGGTGCGGATGAACGGATGTATGCGCGTACCCATTCACAAATTGTCTATCCGTAACATGTGCGTGCACATTTCTAGACGCAAACACGTACATAGAATATATATATATACATAATTTGCATGCATGCATGCATGCAGGCGTACATACAACCAGTTGTGAGATCTGTTTCAGATACCATGTCATGCCAAGCAGCAAGTCCAAAACCTTGTTTGCAAAATCGCCACACTGCTGGAAAAGAAAACATTCCGCTGATGCTGGGGCCTGAACTACCGGATGCCGCTACGGCACATCGGTGGTAAACAGATTAGACAGACGCAAACAATTAAACGGATCAGGTAATGCCTTTTTATTATAATACCAGGTATTGACTATCGCTGATAGTCCGTAAGGAAACGAAGATCAGCATCTATGCAACAAGAATAAACATGCTTACTTGTCCCTACGAATATAAGTGCGCAGAAGTGCATGCATGCATCATACCTTTTGAAAATATATCTGAATAATCCGTATATGTAAGCACACATACCACTACACGTTTGTCACGACACTTGGAGCTCAAATGTTGTCCAGAAACCATCAGATTGTCGGCATACAAAACCGTTATGATGAGCGTCGCAAGGTTGATAGATTGCTGCAGTTCGTTGCAGTGGAGTTGTGGGTACAAGACAAGGTTGAGTTCTTGAATCGCGACCACAAACTCACCTGAGTATTTGGGTGACTTGCTGAAAAAACGCCCGCTCTGCTTACTTCCCGGTCAAAGGTCCTGCTGATCCAAGTGTACTCCGATCTCTGCCAAGTCGCCGGGCCCAAAAGCAGGACCCTGCCCGAAGATGCGAAGTGGGTCTGCAGCGTCATATCATCTGTCCAACAAGCGTTTACGATAAAAAACACTGAAGACTAATGCCGAACGAAACCAAAACCCAAACTCAAGACCCCACATGAGTATGGCAACCACTGCCTGACAATACTGTCAATACATTGCCTTACATGTCCATGTGTTGCCTGCAGCAGGTTGTTGAGGCAGTGCACACCTGCACAAAGACGCCGGACGATTAGGCAATGTGAATGGGGCGACATGAAGTTGGTTTTGACATGGACCACCACGGCAAGAGCGCAATCTCAGCATCTCGCCACATAAGCCGCCTAACTGCCGCTCGTGGTAGATGTACCTGGCAGATTCTGTCGCAGATTTCGATAAAGGTCAAAGCACAAGAAACCAGAAGTTTCCGAGCACCACGCCCCATGGTGGGACACCCACTGAGGATTCATTTGACAATCCCGAATGCCATACAACAGATTGCTGATGTCTGAGAACCCTGTCCTGCAAAACCACATCAGCGTGCCAATGCCAAAAACACCAAGGCAGTCAACTGGAACCAGACTACCCGACGTGAAAAACTGTGCATTCAAAATATTGCTGGAAAAACCTGCGGCAGGAAGCGGAATGCGACAAAGAACCATGCAACATTCCTGTCAAGTGTTTCCGGTTTGCCAGCCGCAATCAAGGATTTTCTTCGTGGGGGACCATGCACACGGAGATTCAAAATTGGCCAATCATAGCCAATATTAAAATACCGCTGCCGACAAGATATGAGGTATGAGCCAAGCAACCGATCGGATTTTTGAAGCTGAAACAACAGATCCTTATCAGTAACACACACACACACACATGGATGTCTTCGTCAAAAGCTTCGCTGTTGAGCACATGTTTTGGGATATTAAAATCCTATGTCTAATCCGTTCATAACGACAGTTCAACTTAACCGTGAGCAATTTTGTTGGCAAAGACAGTGTGTCCAACGTTCAACGTCGCATCTTGCTGACCAACAAACAATGTCTGCATCGTTCAAAAGCTCGTGATACAAAGCTTAATTTGCATTAACGTTAGCGCAGGTCACATCAATTGGGCGAATACCCGCTTATCTCTGTAGTTTACAAACATGGAACGGTTGTTGACTGCTTTCAAGCTGCAGTATATTCTCACTGCTCATCTTTTGATCTGATCGAGAATTCTGTAAGCCTAGAGCTGTTTCAAAAAAACAAGATGATGCATGTTGCGAGCTCTTGCATAAAGCAGATTTGATACTCGATGATTTCAAGCTTTTGTGGACAACAGTTTTCAACGTGCTGCCATCCAACCGATGTCGAACACTTGGATCACATGATCCTTTCAATGTGCATCTCAATACATAACTCAGTTCTGCAAAACAAAAATTGTGACAATCTAAGATTCGATGACAACACAGCAGCAACATGCTAAACCCGCTTTTTCGCGCGGGAGACATTCGCAGCTGGCTGCCTCTGCAACGTGGTTGTAATTTTTTTCTTCGTTGTGTGTGGGCAACGTCGACCGAAACTTTGCACTTCCAAGACAAGCCAATCCAGCAAGTGGGAAGCCAGGCGGAGGAACAGGAGCCACAACCGCTGTTCCTCTGCATTGCATCCAAAGAAGTAAGATTGACCACGATCTGCCGTTTCATGCCTTCACAAACATGTGCAAATCAAGAAACAACGCAATACAGGGATTACACCAGCGAAGACCCCAAACAGAATGCATCGAATCATACCGGTTCAAGTTGGAATGTGTTGGATCCCAATCTGGCTTCGCCAGCAGATTTTGCGAAGAAGAATTAAGCATTGGGCGATATATTTCTGCGAAAGAAGAGTGGGTGGTGGGACTCAAGCGTGTGGGAAGGTTTTTGGGAGGGTCCAGGGAGCATCGTTCAGAGGATCTTGCTGCAACACCATGCACGGAAAACATGCACATTTCTCCCGCAACTGCCACATTGTTGCCGCCTTTGCAAAACAGGATACCTGGCCTCTGCTGCAAACGTTCGCGGACGAAGTGCAAAAGAGCTTGGTGTTTCGCTTCGGTTGGCTGTCGGACGGGAAGAAAACGAGAACTTTGCCGTGCATGTTTGGCAAGAAGGTAGGAAGGGATTTGTCGGCTTACAAGGCAAACAAAAAGCTCTCTTAACACGGAACCATTCACGTTTTCTCTGCTGACCGAACGAAGCATTGTCCACAGGTTTTTGTTGCCGCAGGAACCGCACAAAGAAAAAACGCAACTTCTCCACAATTTTCATAACATTACCTTTTGCAAAACAGGATTCCTTGCCTCCGCTGTAGACATTGGAGGAAGAAGCACAACATAGGGTGCTATATGGATCGGTTAGCTGTCGCACGGGAAAAAAGTGTGAACTTTGGCGCGCAATTTTGGCGAAAAGAAGCGCGCACAGGGGTGCGTCGGCTTACAACACAAAACAAAAATCTTTCTTTACACGGAACCATTCACGACTTTTTCCGTGGACCGAACGAAGATCCATAGAATCTTGCTACCGCAAAAACCCCACAACATTTCCGTTTTGCGAGACAGGATATGTGCCTCTGCTGTAGACGTCTGTGGAAGAAGCACGAAAGAGGTTGGTATACAGATCGGTTCACGGGAAAAGGTAGGAACTTTGCCGCGCGAACTTGAGAAAAAGAAACGCAAAGGGGTTTCTTGGCTTACATCGCAAACAAAAATCTTTCTTCACACGAAACCGTTGACGATTTTTTCCGCCGACAAAACGAAGAACGTCGTCCACAGGATCTTGCTGCCGCAGAAACTACGCACGGAAGAACACACAACCTTCGCGCAACTGTTACAACATTGCTGCCTTGCAAGACAGGACACCGGATTCCTGGCCTTTGCTGTCGACGTTTGTGAAAAAGGTTTGGTTTACGGATCGGTTGGCTGTCGCACGGGGATGGCAACTTTGCTGCGCAAACTTGGCGTAATGAAGGCCGCACAGAGGTGTGTCCGACAAGGCAAAACAAATAACGTTTTTTACACGGAACCACTGACAAATTTTTCCACAGACCGAAAGAACTTCGTCAGGATCTTACTTCCGCAGAACCACGCACGAGGACACACACACACACACAGACATAACTTTCCCGCAACTGTTGATCCGACTCTTAACAGCAGCACAACGATGTTGGAGTGGAATTGCGGGACAAGGCAAGAAAACCCAAAAGGAAGTCTAACCAGAAGAGAAGCACAAGCGTTCAATTGGTGACATTGTTTGATGGCTCAAGATCATGTCATTGGCACATTTGGCTGCACAGTCGTTACCCACACAAGCACAGGACGTTCGTGGGGTTGAACATTATGACAAACAAGGCACAAATGTGGACTCCACACACAGCGCAAGCCATCTTTATTTGACCTCCAAAGACCCCGAATCCTGTTAATAAGGCACACAGCAAACTATTAGAGCCTATTTTTGAGTTTAGTCAAAAAACTCCATGCCTGCTAGGAGGACGTTAGAAGGATGCTGGGAATCTAGAAATTTGAGAACGTCACAGTCCCGATCACAAAATTCCACGCATGCCACGAGGACGCTGCGGACATCACGAGGACGTGCCACGAGGACGCCACTTTTTCACACAAAATACACATGTTCTTGATTTTTTTCATTGAAAAAGTGGCGTCCTCGTCGAGTTTGTACCTCGTCGCGGGGCTGGGCCTCAGACCTTCGACGAAGGGGGGGCTTCAAGGGGGGCTTATTCTTGTTTTGCACCTGCGCAGAGCGAGAAGTTCATAGCTGCAGCACAGCAGGCGCGAAGGTACTCCCAGAGCAAGCCTGTCGCGAGAGGCTGCTCCAGTGCGTGGTGCAGAGCAAGGCGCCTTTCTCCAGAGGTTGCTTCGACCTCAGAAGACGGCGGCACAGGCGCGAGCAGTATTGAGGTAGAGGCCGAGGCAGTCACTGTGTTTTCCAACCTGCCGCAACAGCCGCTGCAACGTGGTCGGGACTTGCGAGAGCTGCAAGCTTTGGACGTCCACAAAGAGCGCAGGCCTGCACCAGCGAAGCAGCAAGCCTTGAGGCACGAGCCGGACGCGCCTGAGACGCTGTCTCTTCGACGACAGTCGGGCCTCAGTAAGGAAGCACGAGTAGCACGAAAACGAGAAGCAGTATAGGTGTGCGACAGAAACAACACGAAGCAGCTCGGCCGGTAACGCTACCACTGCGCGACTAGGGCTGTCTCTGTGCGACTTGGTTACAAACTTTCTGGGTCGCTTGCAAAAGGGTCCGACTGGAACGACGCCGTTTGAAGAAAGAAGGGTTTGTCGCAGATGTTGCCGGGCGTTTTCGGCGACTGTGACTAGCGCCGCGCACCTAGCAAGGACGTCAACCAGACTACCACGGCAAAAGGGACGAGAAACATCTGAAACTGTTCCTGAGACAGGCTGTGCTCGGGACAAGGCCCTTAGAAACAAGAATAGGAGTTCAAGGCTGGAATGGTTCGGCTATCCGAGGCGCGGTCCCTACCCGCGGCGCACGCAGCCGCGCGAGACGTACATAAGACTCAAAACCGAAGCTAGACGCAGAAAATCCGAAGCGAAAGACAGAAGGATGCTGCAGCTAAACTGGCTGTCCGAGCGAAACTCGGCTGAGCACCGAGCGTATGAGGGCAGACACAGCCACACGCTTCTTTGCGGGCAGAGCCTAGCGAACATGTGCCGCAAAAAAGGACCAAAGAGTTGGAGCGCACCTGGAAGATCTCCGCAAGCTGTGCTGCCGAGAACTTGCGGTTCAAGGCCTCCGCAACCTTCGCAGACCTGAGCTTGTGGAGAGTTCTTGCCGGCCAAAGTTAAAGCAGCTGAGACGCAGACGGCAAAGCCATGGCTCGCGGCTTGAACTTCGAGTCGAAGAGCGCGGCGGAAGGTGAAAGAGCTGCAAGGACAGCGGAACAGCCCCACCCGCAGTAATACTGTCACCGCCAAGAAAAAAGTTTGCCCCTAGCACGAAACAACGAGAACAAGACGCAGGCATGCAACGCAAAAAAAACAATATTTTTTTGAAAAAAAAAATGCAAAAATCTGCCTCCGAAAATAAAAAATTTGCAAATGTTGTGGAAGCATGCAAAAATTTGCAAAACGCAAAAAGTTCGAGCTGCAAAGAATAGCAAAGATATCTGCAAAAATTAGCAAAAATTTTGCAAAAAAATAGCAAAAAAAAATAGGATGCAAAGACCTTCAAATCGTCGGCGCAAGAACACAAAAACTCGATTCCAACTTTGCAGACAAACCGTTTTAGCCGATTCCAACTTTGCAGAGAAACCCTGCAAAGGCATCCGCCTTGGCGGTCAAGAACACGCCGAATGCGAGTTTCCCAAGAGCGAGCAAACCCTGAGACTCAGCGGTATCACTGTGGTTCCAGCCCACCCTTCAAGCCCCCCTTCAAGACCCCCTTCAAGC